CCCCCCGTCGTCGTCGTCAATGTTCACCAACACACACCCCAAGAAAGGCGGCCACCAAAAGTGTACCCTTCTCCCCCCTCTCCCGCGTCCCCTGTAAAAAACACCCAACAAGAACAAACCACTCCTTTTTTGTGTATTCCTTAAGGTGACCGCCCTTGCAGCAGCAGTCACGCCGTAAGGCACATCCCGTCAAGAGAAGGAGAAAGTGAGAGAAAGTACACCCCCCGTAGGCCAATTTTCAAAGCTCGATTGCCCCATAGCCAAGATCGTGCCAACACCACAATGGTGTTTTTGGAAGCATCTGGTCGAGGCCTTTCCATCTCGACGTTTCGGGCCCTTCCTGCACTCCCCTTGGTAGTGGAGCAATCTAATCGAGCTCTGAAAGTAGGTCTACGGGGGGTGCCATCTGTCCACCTCTTGCGGGTTGTTGTTGTTGTGGTTGCTGTAATGTTGTCTTGACATAAAAAAAACGTTCCGGTTTCCGCTCATTACCTTCCAATACATAATTCGTACTGGTCCAACTGACTCGGAGGTCTTCCGTGGTAGCAGACTTACGTACTATTTCCCCCAAGCACGTGGTGCACCTTTCTAGAAATCAAAGAAGCGTAAAATATATGGACCCCGAAAAACAAAATCCTCCAAACGCGAAAATATCGTATCACAAAGACACGAAGCTAACCGGGAGATCAGCGAACTCGGCCAAAGGGGACACTCCTTGCAAAGAACAGCTCGCACCTCAGCAACGCTTTCTTCCCGCACGCCTCCACCAGCGAGTGGGTAAGACCCCCGAGCCGCACGACGACCAGCGGCCTGCCAAGCCTGTCGAAACCCGAACCGAGGCAGACGAGGCCCTCGGCGGCCGGCAGCGGCGACGGCGCCGACCCCTCCTGGCCGTCCGCCGCACCCCCACCGTGGTGCCCACGCAGGCCCGAAAGGCCCACGCTTGCCCCCCATTCCACGCAGGAGACGAGGGAGGCTAACGCCTGTAGAAGGGTGACAGCAACAGCAGCAGTTGGCAGAGGGGATGACTTTTGGCTGGCGTGTGGAGGCGCAACGCGAGACGGGTAAATAGGGGCGATCACAACAGCATTTTGGGGAGGAGGAGACCGTACATGGTTTGGGCTGACGTTTCGAGGCTACAACGTGAGACGGCTAAATAGGGGCGACAGCAACAACAGTGATAGGGAAGAGACGATCGAGATGGTTTGGGTTGGCGTTTGGAGGCTTACGCCTACAACGCGAGAAGGGTTAATAGGGGTGACAACAACAGCGTAAAATAGAGTACTAGTGGAGGAGACAGTCGAAGTAGTGGTTGGAGCAGGAGACGGTTCATGGTTTGGGCTGACGTTTGGAGGCCGCCGTGCGTGGTGTTTTAGTGACGCTTTGGGCATTTCAGCTCTGGTACCGCCGCTTCCCTTTCTCGTTTTCATCTCACCGAACGACTCTAGCCTCGCGGGATGGATATATCTGTGTGATGCATGTGTTGCATAGCCCACAATCCAGTTATTATCCTCTGGCTTCAATGCGGTGGCCAATCACGTTTGTGTTCATTTGCTACATGTAAATGGTTGTTGTTTGATAGTTTATACATCCTTGTCCAGTCGGTAGCCTGTGCCCACGGAAGTCGTCCACGTCAGCCGGACCAGCACCTAAGCAGAGCTCTGCGTCAACTCCTCACGCCTACAGCAGTTGAGGCCCGCAGTTGGCAAAACGCGTGTTGGGGCATAGTCTATGCAGCAGTTGTTTTTCGTATTTCAACGCCACCGCCGTCAAGAATGGGCCGCACTGTACCATACAGGATGCCGTACGCGATCCACCGGTAGTCAATTTCTAAATAATCAGTTGTGTTTTGTTCTTCGCGCGAACTTGAGGAGCCCATTTTCCTTGGCGCAATGTTCTTGATTGCCGCCCACGCCACAAGTGACTGCAGGGCTCGAAGGAGGTTACATATTACAGAGGTTTGTAACCATTGCAGTGATGTAGACTACGCCAACACCCGATTCAGAACGGATCTTCTGGTGGTGTACTTCAAACCTTTACATGTTGACACGTGGAGTTGGTACTATTCACAAGAACTGCACAACCACACACTCTACTGTGTGTGTGGTAGGTGATTGTGGTGCTCTCTGTCTGACATACGATCGATGCGGTGCCGATCGAAGAACAAAGAGAGCGGCTCCGAACACACACCAGATTCATCGGTCTAAGTCCTCAAACAGTCGTCTACTTCGGAGCGGCATTTCCCGCGACCATATGCAGGCTGTTGTGCCAAATTCCATCCCACACACAGGAAGGGCAAGTCAGTACGCTGCACCCACCCTCTTCTCTTCAAACCGCTGCGCCCGCAGGAACCGAAGCAGGCATACATCGTTTTGCTCGCCCGGCCCGCGAACGAGACCCAATGACAAGCCTTGCTTGCGCGCCAGCTGCTTGAGAGAAGCCAGAGAGGCTGCCTCTCGCTTCGTGAGGCGGCCGAGCCTGCCCGTCCCCTTGGACGACTCGTTGTGCGGGTGGAACAGAGGCGTGGCGGGCATAATGGTGACTGCTGCTCCTCTCCCTGCTGATCCAACTCCCAGCAGGCGGGAATCAATTTCGCCTTTTGTCCGCTCAGAGGGAGAAAGAAAGGTTGGGTTGGATTGCGCCGCAGGGCTTGTGCTGGCTATATGCAAGGTTTTGGTTGAGTCTCTTCGCTTCCTCCTGGATGTCCCTGATCGCCAGCAGCTGGACACACAGGCAGCGCTCTAAATGCATGCGGCGCAGCAACCGAAATATCCTGGCCGGCCGACCACGCACCACAACATGCAAGGCTTTATTTGCTAACGAACAGCGGTTGGTCCATAAGGGTCCCTGCGAGCAAGAATTTGAAGGTAATACGGGTATGGGTACGTGCATACCGTGAATGACACAATATAAGAAACCCCGGTGGTAACATTTTGGGGTTTGAAAATATTACCACCCGGTCTGCTATACTGTGGGGGGTGTGATATATTGTGTACCCTCGGTGATAAAGTGCAGCTCGCATCGGTCCCAAGGGGGTGTGATAAATAAGGGAGTGTGATAGCGCGTCCGAACACCCACAGCAAGGGGGTGTGATAAATAAGGGGGTGTGATAGCGCGTCCGAACACCCACAGCGTGTGTTTGGGGGTGTCATAACAAACGAACAGCCACAGCGTGTGTTTTGGGGTGTGATAAAATGAGGTACCGATACACTGCACACCATTACCGTATAGAGTCGAACCGCTGCTGCCGTACACCTGAAAGGGTGTGGTATTGCGGAGGTGTGAAAGGTATACATGCCTGCACCAACAAGTGTAGTGTATTTAGGGACCTACGGTACCTAAAGGGGCGCGGGACAAAAAACAAAGTGGCTCAACCGAGGTGAGGGAACGCCTGAGCACATGGCCTCGGCGAGATCAACCTTCTCAACGCAAAAAAAGTTGGAAACACGATACGGGCTTGAATGGAGCAAGAAAGTATTGTAAGTCGAAGGTATCTCGCCCAATACGATGATTGGCGGTGGGCACAGAGTGCGCCATCCTTTCTGCCCCCCTCACAAAAGGTTGGCTGCTGCGTGCCTTGCTTTGGGTACGAACCAAAGAGAGTTACCTAGGTACCTATACCGGTACGTAAGAACACCACGAACAAGAATCAACGACCGCAAACCGCAAACCAACGAAACACCAACAACGTTGCACTCCACGCGGCGAAGAAAACAGGCGACTTTTTCTTCACACTCGCTCAAAGACGCCCGACGGCAGAGAAAGATACGCCAGGAAAAACCCAAGGAAACATGAGAAGACACCACAAGCCATTTTCTCAACACTAGCATCGCTGCCGATGCCTCACAGCTCCCCGCCCTCGTCGTCGCTCACGTCCACCACCACCACACCCGTCTCGTCGTCATCGTCGATGTCCAACACCTCCAGCAAGTTCTCGTTCTTGCCTCCTGACGGCGGGTCAGCCTTGTCCGCAGCGTCCGATGGCCCGCGGATGGGCTCCCCCTTGGCGTTGGAATCGAGCTCCTTGTTGGCCCAGGCCTCGTCTCCCGACCCGTCGTAGGGCAGCAGCAGGCCAGCCTTCCTCCAGCTCGAGCGGATTTCGTCCGCGGTCAAGGCATCCCACGCCTTCTTGACCCACTGTGCGACCAAGCCCCGCGAAGGGGGCTCCGGATAGCCCCGCTCGTTGCGCGTGACGTCTTTGGAAGCCATGTGGTCGTCGTAGAGCTTGGACATGTTTGCCTTGAAGATCTTGTTGACCAGGCCATCGCAAGGCTGGAGCTTTGGAGTCAGGCCTCCCGGGATGAGGAACAGCGTCGTGTTGGACTCCTTCATCGCCTTGGTAGACGCGTCCGTCTTGTGGACGGTGTAGTCGTCCCACGCTTAGGCCATACCTCGCGGGTACGCGCAGCCCTTCTTGTCCCTGTAGTCTTTGAACTCGCGCTCGATGCTGTTGGCGGCGGGGGGCTTCCCCTTCGGAGTGGGCTGACCCTTGAAGATGAGAAGGGGCTGCAGCTTGGTGCCGTCGGCGAACACCGTCAGAACCGATGTGATGCGCATCTTCTCCTTGCCGCCGGTTTTGACGGAAATCTCCTTGTCGCCTGTGGCCTGCGGTATTCCGAACAGCGAAACCGACATCAACGTGGGGTGCGTCGAAACGACTTTTGTTGTAAAGATTCGGAAAGTGGCAGCAGTGCGTGCAAAAACACATGATCAGAATCACAGGAGAACAGGAAACGAAGGAAAAGACCAAAATTTCGCACACGTAGAAAGTTCATCATCAAAAGGGTGGCCCAAAAGAATCGTTGGCACAGGAAAGGACAACATTGCTACATCTAACGCAGTAAGAGCAAAAACTAGAGCAAAACTATTACGTACGTACTCACGTTCACAGTGTCCTTCCCCGGGCTCTCGAACCACGTGGGGGTTTCGTCCATGTTGCCGATCTGCGCCAAGTCGAACTTGAGACGCGGACCCGAAGGAATCACAGCGCCACTCCCACCCCCGCTGCCGCTCGCGCTGGCTCCCGCCCCTGCCGCAACCCCCAGGCACTCGACTCCGTCCGCAAGTTCGAGCGCGGAAGGCACGTCGTACTTCAGCGTCCTCCACTCCTTGATAGCCTGCATGGCGATCACGGGCCAGCCAGAAGGAAGTTTCTGGCCTTGTCGGGTGACCGCTCGCACAGAGAAGCGGTAGACCCTGAGAAACCTCCTGCACCACTGGTTCTGCCTGTTGTTGTACTTCTGGCAGCCCTGGAGATCGGATGGCGCCGGCCTCTCTCCGAAGAAGTTCGGGTTGAGTTCGACGGCCTTGTTCTTTAGTATTTTCGTCGAAACACGGGCGGAGATGCCTTCAGAACGCAGCTCGTTGATCCAGTCCACGATCTCGCCCTCGGCCGCTGT